AAAGTGCCCTCAAGGCCCATCTCTTCAAAACTGCCCTCAAGACCCATCTCTTCAAAACTGCCCTCAAGACAAATCCTTCAAAACTGCCCTCAAGACCATCCTTCAAAACTGCCATCAAGATCCATCTCTTCAAAACTGCCCTCAAGACCCATCTCTTCAAAACTGCCCTCAAGGCCCATCTCTTCAAAACTGCCCTCAAGGCCCATCTTTTCAAAACTGCCCTCAAGGCCCATCTCTTCAAAACTGCCCTCAAGGCCCATCTCTTCAAAACTGCCCTCAAGACCCATCTCTTCAAAACTGCCCTCAAGACCCATCTCTTCAAAACTGCCCTCAAGACCCATCTCTTCAAAACTGCCCTCAAGACCCATCTCTTCAAAACTGCCCTCAAGACCCATCTCTTCAAACTGTATTATACCGACTCATTCTCACCCCGCCCCCACCCCCGCTGACTGATAAACAACGCTCGATCCTGCGGGGGGTTGTCTATGGCTAGACAGGAGGAGGTCAAGCTTTTCACCAATTGTTGTTTTTATATGTATACATTTGAGTAATCGCTAATTTCATGTGAAGCGCAATGAGCCTAGCCCAAGGCTGGGGTACTACAGTGAGCCTAGCCCTAGGCTGGGGTGCTACAGTGAGCCTAGCCTTAGGCTGGGGTACTACAGTGAGCCTAGCCCTAGGCTGTGGTACTAAAGTGAGCCTAGCCCTAGGCTGGGGTACTACATTGAGCCTAGCCCTGGGCTGGGGTACTACAATGAGCCTAGCCCTAGGCTGGGGTACTACAATGAGCCTAGCCCTAGGCTGCGGTACTACATGGGCCTAGCCCTAGGCTGGGGTACTACAATGAGCCTAGCCCTAGGATGGGGTACTACAATGAGACTATCCCTAGGCTGGGGTACTACAATGAGCCTAGCCCTAGGCTGGGGTACTACAATGAGACTAGCCCTAGGCTGGGGTACTTCAATGAGCCTAGCCCTAGGCTGGGGTACTGACGCTATATAAAACAACCTAGTAATGTTATGTAGATGACGTGTTTACGTCATATTTCATCGTGCTGTGAACTCTGGCAGACAACAAACAAGCTCAAAACCGCATTTCAGGTGTGGCTAGCTAAAAATAGTATCGTGATGTATATACAATTAATGGTCTGTATCAATCAGATTTTTGTAGAGAAATCTGGAGAAAACTGGAAAGGAAAACAATGCGTAAGGCGGTTCCAGATGCATCAGTAGAATAGACTGTAAAAAGCAGAAACGATAGAATTTTGCAGAGAGCATTTTTTAGAATGAGATATTATTACTTTATCGGGGGGGGGGGG